TTTGCTAACCAAGATTACATTGGAAAGCATGCAAATTTGGAGTTTTTCAATACCAAGAGCATCACAACATCCTTGAATTTCTCCTTCCTTCCCATCCATGCCATGACGAGGCAGTTCGTTGTGACAACTGGATCGTTGCCATCAGTAGATGTGCGACACAGGGATCTCATTTCAGACGAGATCAAGAGGAGTGGATTAATTCACCTTTCTTCAATGGTGGTTTTACCTGACGCCCGTCCAGAATTGACGGCATTGAAAGTGGCCATGAACAATTATCAGAATTTTGGCCTTTGCCGTAAACGCGGTGTGATCGGGGAAGAGACTTTTCGTTCTCTCCGCCGCAAAGTAGAAGAGACAGCTTTGACTGCCAACAACAATAAAGCCATCCCCCTCCCCAGTGGCGGATGGCCAACGAAGAGGCCACTGGGGGGGGCTGCAAACGTACCTGCTACAACTGTTGAACGCGCTGTCCAATTTGATCAGTTTGATTCATGGTCCTTCATGATACCTACCCCTTAAACTTTTTTCTTTTGCCGCCGTCAGCTGCGCCGCTCGTTTTCGCCACCGCCGACTTTCTGCAGACTTGAGAAACAGCCTTTGTTCAAACACCTTCAACTTTTCGGACCTTTCACCCTGCCGTTCCTTCGCCATTTTTGACCTGGGAACTGAGTTAACTGAAAACCAATGTCAGAGTGTGTCTCCCCTTTTGTTGCCTCGCTGTTCGTTTATGACTCACTGCTGGCATAAAGACTCATGTCTTACCCTTTTTAAACAAGTAAGAGGAAGTTGTGGGTACTTCTTAAAACCCTGGGTCCTGGATATATTCGCCTGACAACTGTCCCCTGTGAGACTTTCCTCAGATCGCATGTCCGCGCGTTGAGGACCCAATGCAACTAAGCGCCACGGTTTGCCATAGCGGCGCAGTGACTGGGATGATCAGCAGGGAAGGACATCTATTCGCCACCACCAGCTTCTTCAAAGTGATGACCATGTGTTCTTTCTTTTTTGCGGACCTACTAGTAGCTTCTTGTTACTACTATAGTAGTATAGCGATGGCCTCCAACCTAGTAGCAATGGCCTCCAACCTAATAGCTTCTTGCTACTAGTAGAAGTATGGAATGACCTATGGGTCCAAGATGAACCAGGTGACCTTTGAAGCTTCGTGACCTGGGAAACGGGTCGGACACTGACCTCATCAAGTCAGCGGCCGCGTTTCGGGCGTTCCTGGATCATGGCATCCGGAGGCCCGGTCACTCACCCTGGTAGCTTGACCCTGTCGATTCATGTCTAGCCATGGTAATCTCTTAAGAGGTAGTCTTACTTATAGATCACTACAAACAAAACACCCAGGGTAGGTCGTCTCTTCTCCAAAAATAAAGACGGGGAACTCTCCAGAAGAACCCCAAACCGCAGTCGGATGCAGACGAGAACCAAACGGCATCTTCCTGTCAGCGACCAAGGCCAAGAGCGCTTTGTTCTGCCGCTCCCTGATGGAACGGCTCATGTCTTTGGGGCAGGACGGGTGGAGCTCACACCGGTGGGTCCCACCGGTGGGACGGTATGGCGTTTTGGTTGTATGAGTGGAAAAGGAAAAGAGCGGTAAAGAGTGGAAAAGAGGCACACGGTCTTTACATGTTTGGCTAAAGAAACTACTGTCTTAGCCCACGTTTCTCTCCAAGCCAAGGAATGAACAGAGGTTGTAATTATGAAAGTCTAGAATCATATCTATCTATCTAGAATTTAGAATCTTACTTGTTTTGGGACAGGTACGTACTGCTTTCACTTGCATTCACTTTGTATCCTAAATTAACCCTTTGGTTCTTTGTGCTGCTCATCTCCACTTGGTTGTTTGGAAAGGTAGATGTGCGTTGCTAATCTCATGTCCAACATCTGCGCCGTCTGCAGATCTGGAACAAAACCACGGTCGATCCGGGTGACCTTGGTGACCGGTTGATCAGCAGGTGGTCTTCCTTCCTGCCCGTCGGGGATTTCGTTCGGCTGGTTGTAGCTGGTTGGGTTCGTTCCTTTTCATGGGATCCAGACGTGGTCTTGTCTTCAGTGACTGTAGATCCCGCCCTTCCGGGAGGATGGAAGCTGAAGGGAAGGAGGAGTGGTCTGGAGGATCAGGAGGACGTTTGGATGGAAATCCTCCAAAAAGATCCCCTCCACTGAGCAAAAGTCCCTAGATCTGTCAATGCCATGGTGTTGAAGGATGTCCGAACCAAAAACTTGTGGTGAGAAGTTTGGTTGTTGTGGGGAATGTAGTTCAAAACCCTGTGGTTTGAATGAGTGACACAAATAGCTTCTAAAAAAGAACGTTCATCCTCCAGGAAACCAGAAACCCGGTCAAGAGCCTTCAACACATCCCAATGTTACCGCCTTCAAGAGATGGATGAACCATACCCAAACACCAACCCAGTCACTTGGTCACTTGGGGATAGGTCAACCAAGGTATCTTGGGTGCCACGACATTCTGGCTGCATCCCACATGGGCTCAAGCTGTATGGAACCTTGTTTTTTTTTCCTCGCTGAATCCAATTCTCGCTCCGTGCCCTGTCGATCGACGGAATCGACGGGGGTCTCGGCGCCTGGACCGGGGCAGGGGCGCCGGTCTCGTCCAAAGCTGGTCCGGTCACCTCTTTGAGTCGTGTTTGGTTGTTTTTGTTTAATAAGTACATGTATATATCACCAATATCCAGTCCTGAATCTTGATTTATCAATCACAATATATAATCATATTATCATAATCAATCCACAGGCATGGATATGTTCAGTCGACTAAGAAGATGACCAAGATAACTATAAGAATCCAAACGAGGTCAGTGATTTCCTGACGTGAAGATGTTCCAGCCACCCCCCTTTCGGCGAGACCCGGCCGAACGCGACCTGGGGCCGGAAGCATTCTGTCCGGGTGACTACGTCTGTACGGAGCAACGAAGAGGCCCTGGATTTCAGCGGTTGAACCACGTGTTTTTTGCAGTCATGAACAGAAGGAGAAACCCAGAGTGTGAAGCAAAAGGGCGTCAAAGAGCTGATTTTGTCTCTGGCCATGTCCACGTTTCCATGCATTGAGAAAGGAACAGTTTCAGAGAAGATGAGTCACTGGATTCGATATTTAGATTCTAGATTCCTTTGACCATAAATTAAGGCTCCAGAATGATCTCGGAGTCTCCAAAGCTGGGGCGGCGATCATCCATGTCTCCAAAAAGGAAATGCATCTCTAATTGACAGAATAACTGCCCGAAGAAGAACGCAGCTGTGAATCCATGTCGAATTCTTCCATGATCGAAACCAAATTCGAACCTTTTTCAGGGCCTCTTCTCCTAGGGCTCCAACTGCCTCCTGAGAAGGTGGTTGGGGTGGGTTAACCACCTGAGGATATGGTTAGGAGCTCTAGGATCTTTAGGGTCCGGACAAAGACCCGGTGAGACGCGCCGATTCCTCTCCTCTCCGCGCTCCGCGATGCGATGCTCAGGTCATGTCGTCCTATGCCCCGGTGCCCGAAGGAACCTCCAGAGAAGCCATGTTGATCCTCGACCGAGAGATCGAGGACTGGATTGCCTCGCTCGTCACGGCTTTTCGCCACTTCGGCTCGTGGCCATGGTTTTGCTTGTGCTGGGGATGGTGATTTGGTCGGATCCAGGTGATTGTTGATTTTTCCCATAATTTTTCCCCATATATATGGGTAGATCCCCTGGCACGGGCATATGTGGTTTTTCCGTTCCTGGACAGCCAAGTCAAGCCTGGGAGTGCGGGGAGTGCCTTGTTCATCCTTTTTTCTTTTTTGCACGTAGCGTTTTTTCCAGGTTTCGGCGGCTGATGCTTCATGTCGGTGAAAGGGACCGCCAAGACAGTGTCGGTGGAGTGATAGTGATTGTTGATGAATCAAATCCGCAAACCGGGATGGCTCTACGTCTTCAGGTCCACATGTTCTTGGTTTGTCAACAGAATGTCTTTCGCCAGACTAGTTGCCAGTTTGGTTCCGCAAAACGTGTGAAGATAGGGGTAGTAAGGGTGTTAGGCCAGTCGGTCACCCCAACCATTGTTTCGAAGCTGAAGGCTGGAAGTTGTTGTTCGATGTATAGCCTGACTCAGTGCTTGTACTTGATGCGACATGATGCGACTGGATTGAGGGACGATGAGGGACGATCAGATGTTTGAAACGCTAACTTCAAGGCTTTTTAAACACCCGATTCCCCCTGAAACGTACCCAGGAAGTCTATGTCGCCCACGCCGAGTTTGTGCAGAAGTGTATGTGAATCCAGATGACCCGATCTCTTAAATTTGTCTTGCCTGGGACCTAGTATTTACCTGTGAAAAACAGTGGAGCTCAATGACTTTGAGACCCTTTTTTCTCAAATGGTCTATACTTCATTGATTTGTCTCAACAGTTGTCTCACCATGCCCTTGCCCTCTCTAACTTTCAATCAGATCTGCCCTGGATCTGCACCCGTCCTACCGACACGGTCAGGAGGGCGACAGCGCTGAAGAGCTGCGGGCGCCGGACAACAGCAGCGAGAGGCGGTCGATCTGTATGGGTCGGGCGACGGTCGGGCGACGTGCGGAAACACCGAACAGCCGGATTCGAACATTTGTGATGGCTTTTCCGCATCCTGATCTCAAGCATCCTGATTCAGTCTTCGGAATCCGTTTGGCTGTTCCTTTTCCGCAGGATGGAACTAACGTGAAAAACCACCTGTTAGGTGGTGGAATTTCAAGCTTGAACTGGCGAGGATTTGAAGTGTCCCTTACTGCCTAAGAGCGACGCCTGAATCAAGCGTCCACGCTGCGAGACGGTGGACGAGCTGTGAATACAGGAAGTCATTTTTGAGAGGCAGTTTGATGAAGGGATACACCCATGTGATTGATTCTTGTCATTCAAGAAGAAAATGGGACATGACATGACATGACACTATCAAAACAGGTACAAACGCATCCATTTTCCTGAGGTACAAACTGAGAGTCCAGGTATAAGATGTGTTCAATAACAGCCCTTAGCTGAGAAGTCCAAGCTGGTCTTGATTCGGCCGAGGCATGCCGAGGCTGAGCTTTTGGATATTTGTGTCTCCAATGTTGAGGAACACCCTCCTGGATAGGGCCAAGAAACGTTTTCTCACTTTCAACATCTTTCAAGTTGGATCTTGCAACAAGAAGATTTGTCATGTGTCCAACTTCGTATTTCAAATCTACACGTTCTAGAGCACGCCGGCACAGTTCCACCGACGATGCTCCCGTCGAGGCCGAACAAAGTGAAAGTGATCGCTCTCACGGCTGGTACCTGGACGCAAGACCGGCGCAGCGATTCAAGAAAATCCAAATATATTATGTTATTTCCTCCAAAACTCTTGAAATTGGAGATGGGACATGTCATTTCATTGGATGGTATGCTGCGTGCCTATCTCTAGGCTCAGCATCAGAGACAAGACAAAGAAAGAGGAACAGATCCAAGACAGCGTTTCCTCAGCTCGGGGAAACACCCAAGAAAGGACTAGCCGCTTGGTGGACAGCGGAAGTTCTTCGCTTTCAGATTTATCACTCGTGATTTATATATAACCCCCTCCAGAGGAGGTGGAGATGATCGTCCTATCAAAATGGGCGCTCCAAATCTCACTCATTCAAGGTGGCGACACACCCAGGGGGGCTATGCATTGCTATGCCAAGAAGGGTCTATTTATGGGCCAAACAGAATACACTCTGTGAACACACATCACATGGATGTGGATGGCATGGTCCCTTGGAAGTCTACTTTCCTCTACTTTTCCCTCAAAAAGCGGGTCGTCCACTGCCATGCGATGTGAGTCGGACGTGTAGTCGGGACGTGTTCAAGTTCTGTCCCACAACATGAAAGGACGCGAGTTCTGCCGCTTTTCTTCTAGGCAAAGCTTGCATATGGGTCAAGCGGTAAAGCTCTCCACACCTTGGCAACCCGTCAGCCCTCTTTCCCCTCCAGACTTCTAGACTACATCCCTTGGCTCCGATCGTGCTGGTCTAGCTCACGCCTGAACCAGGCGTCCTGGCCGCGCTCGTCGGCGTGGTCCTGTTCATGCTCTCGGATCCATGCCGCTCTCCGCTGCCGCTCGGGCGAGCGAGCGAAATATGTGTGCGGCACCGCTCGGGCGAGCGGGGTGGGTGGATGAGAGGAAGATGGTAGGGGAGCGAGATGGTAGGGGAAGAGATGAGAGAAGGGCAAGGAGTTGGAGGAGGTTTGAGAGGCACCTGAGGTTTCTCTTGAGACGAAGTATGGGGTTGGGCATCACAGAGTTGGATGAAGTGCTCTGTAGGATTTGATCTGTTCCTGGACGGATCCACATGTTCTTGTTTCAGGGGAACGCATAGGAACGCGTCAGCTCACTCAACATGAGCAGAAAAAGTAAATGTACTTGGCATGAACTGCAGGCCCTGCGTTGCTAGGGGTCTATCAAGCCAGCCGGGCGCCACACTTTTGGCACTTCTTCGAGCTTTCGACCTGCACGGTCAGGGCTCTTCGGGAAAGAACTTGTACCATCAAACTTGACCCTGCCACTGCAAAATACAGCGGAAGGTGTTGAGCTTCCCGAACTCATCCGGATGTGTCCCACAGGCGTCGACCCTTTCTATTTTTTGGAACCCCGCCTTCTGGTTGGAGTCGTTTGGATGAGAGGGGACGATGGTGGTTCCGAGACCCCTCCCTTGTAGCCTGCCTTTCGGCCTCCGAACTGGTCAGCCCCTCACCTACTAATCCCCCGCCGGTCATGGTCAGCCCCAACGGCCGGTCGATCGCCCCGACCTGAGGGCCGTCTTCCGGGGGCATGGGATTGAAATGGTAGAGATGAAGCAGTGCCTTGACCTTCTTCAGGGAAGCGGTCTGAGACCCGGACATGGACCCTTCGCGGTGGGTCGGAGGGCAGTCGGAGGCGTGGTTGGGCGGGGATTTCTTAAGCCGGTTTTGCGGTTTTGGTGGCCTTGGGGTGGGAAGCCATCAGGTGGCCTGAAGTTTTTCGTTGTGGTCATGCTGAAAAGGAAGATCAGAAGATGGCTCTCCCGGTAGTGGAAACCTGGATGTATGAAATTGGCATTTGATGCTCTATAGGACAACATCCTTGTTCGGGTCCAACTAGTAGCTAGCAAGGTTGAGGCGAAAGGGAGAAGAAGGAGGAGACAAACAAAACGATCAGGTCACATTAAGTTTCGGAAGCGGTGGTTCCTCTCGAATTCCTACGGACATTGTCAATCTTATTGGTGGGGCGTACTGCTTCCAGCTGAAGAGCTTTAGGGTGCTTGAGTACTTGATACACCTTTTTGTGGAAGATCGCGCAGCAGTACCACCTAACTTCTGCCCCTTTTCTAAGTCAGCAAAGGTCTCAAATATCTGGAGCTTGATGATCTTTCAGACTTTGCTGACACCCCAAGAACCAACCGTCAAAACATGTTTTGAAGTCCAACAAATGTGAAGACATGCATTTGTGGCCTGCTGCTGTTGTTTTATATTAAAATTATCACCAAATGGGCAGAACAAACATCCCTGCTTCATGTTTCTTCCATACAACTTCTGCACTGGAGTGGCTTCACAGCTTCAGCCAAAACAGACTCTTCCTGGTTTTCCCACGCCCCGCTCGAACCATGCGCGAACCACGCCTGCATGGCGCCATTGCGAGGTTAGAAGCCGCCTCGCGGAACCTCAAGTCTGTGAAGAGCCGAACCGCGGCTGCTGCGGGGCTGCAGCAGAAACGTAGACCGGAAGCGAAGGCTTTTGGGCGCCCTCTTGCGGGGCTGCAGATGGCTTTGTTTGATTGGGAAATGCGGGAAAATCGTGTTTATAAATGTTTGTGATAAACGGTGTATATAGATAATTGGAAGGAGGGCTAGCTTGTAGTTCATCTATCCTGAATCATCTTCATCATTTCCCCATCTCGCGGGCGATTCACCACCCAAATAAAGACAACCATAGAACACCGCAGGACTCGTCCTGCTGGAGTCCTGCGGAAGTCCGGCGCCATGGTTCCTCATGGTTCATCCGTTTTCGGTCCGGACGGACTCCCAAACCTGGAGACGGCTCATGGACGGATGGATTGGGTACCTGGACCTTCTTTCGGGGTGTCCTGGCTTTCTCGGTCGATCGTGGCTGGAGCTGGGGCGAGGTTTCGCCAGGTGACCCCGACATGGTACGGTGCTGGTAGGACGGATGGGACGATGGAGAATAGTGGAGACGCCTATCTTTCCCTATGGTTGTTCATCTCAATTCCATGGGGACGTCCAACTTCTTGTCCCCGGTTCCTGAGAGCCAAATCCAAGCAGCCCAGCCCGTCAACTCCCAGATCTTCAAACCGGTATACAGTATACAACACATCCAACCAAAACCATCCCCAAACCTGAGAGAATCCGCGAGGATGTTCATCACTTTCATGCCTGTTTCGCAATGGTTTGATCACTTTCTGACAGCGATCGCTGACATCGCTGCGATGGACCCCCCACCGTGGTCAGCATGGAGACCAAGTGAGTCCGATGCCGGTCAACATGGAAAGCAGCCCATTTGGTGAAGGCAATGCGGACATCCTGCCACCAACAGCCGAATTGGATCGAATTGGTCTTGGATGCCTGTTTGGCTTAAAAAGGTAAGATGTGAAAGTCAAGGTAAAGAGTGTCCGTCGCTTTGAGTGTCCACCCCTTTGGCTCCCACAGATGGTTCCTCCCCGCTCTTCTTTCATTTTCTGTCCACCCCCTAGCACTCTAGTCGTTATTCCTCAGAAGGTATCTAGACCCTCCTGGCACCCCCAACATCTCCACGACTTAAGGACCAGATGGTGAGGGAAGCGATGAGCAAGGCAAGAGAAGCCGCTGAGCGCAGACGACTTTCACTGCCCAGGAAGTGCCCGCTTACCAGACCCAGGGAGTGACCCAGGAAGCTAGGGAGTTCAGGAGCTCAATTCTTCTTTCATGTACTTTATTGTTACATACATTTGCCCCCACCTATGAGCCCAATGCCAATTGGAAGTACCTAGGACCTATACCATGGAAGGTCTGTCTTGTACTAGTATATACGTGGGTATACAGTAGATGGCAGTAGATGGTGGTGGTGACAGTGATACCACCAGGCTGCCCCTGTTTGGAAGCCATACCCACTCACATGAGCCCGCGGATCTTTTTCTTCCTGCGGTACAGGTGGCCAAGACTTTCGGTGAAGCAGCAGATAGAAGATGTCCAAAGATCTCCAAAGAAGATTCTCATGTTCCTCGTGGTTGTTGAATTTCAAGAATTGATCGCTTTTGAATCCCTTTAGCTTGTAAGGTTTCAAGAACCTGGCATGTTTGCAGTTAGCTTCTTTGTCAGGAATGTTTGTTTGTTTAGCATGGATATAGTATGTTCGTTTTTTTTAAAGTTCATCCATCTGCCACTCCATAACCATCCACCCAACATGAGTCACACATTAATCATTGTTTCACTTCACCCCCTCCAAGACCTCCCCCCCGATCCGAAAACACCCTTCGTCCCAAGCTCCGTCCACCGTTCTCCACCGCAGCTCCAACCGAGGAGAGGATCGCCCATCACAAGATCCACAAGTTGGGCATGCCGAAGGGTCTCCGCAAGATGGTACGCCATCGCTGCGAACGTTACTAGGAAGCTACTAGGGCATTGCTACGAACGGAGCAAGGACGCTACTAGTAGCTCCTGGCCTTACTACTATAGGAACAAGAAGCTACTAGGAACAAAGGGCATCGCTACGAACAGAGAGCAAGGATGCTATACTTTGTTTGCACAGGTGTTTAGCGGTGTGGCGACTGATGTTTGTTAGATTGTTTAGTTCAATGTTTGGTGCTATTTTTTTTTGTGTGTATGTGGGCCCTTGTGCTTTGGGGAATCGGAGAGAATATGTTGCAGTCAGTCTATGAGCCATGCAACTTATTGCAGGGCATTTGTGCATGAACTGTTTCCTTTTTTTTCTCAGATGAGTTCAGTGTGATTGAAACCTCTTGTTGCTCTTGCAAAGACAGTTGACACACTTTTGTGCAGCAAAAAGACCGCGACAGAACTGCAGGAAAACAAATAACAACCCCCTGCGCAGGTGGGTTCCGGAGCGACACAGATCGGCGACTACTTCCATTCGGAGAAGTTGGCCGTGGAAGCCCGAAAGGCTGCCTGGTATTGTGGATCAGATCATAATTTGTACGTTATATTTTTTCCCTGGGGCTCCGAGTACCTTCGTTTCGAAGGTGGGACTGGGGTGGGTGCCATTGTCGGGTCCAGTCATACCTTCTGAAAAGGTGCTTGGAGCCCAAGAGGGTTTCTGAACATGTTCCCCAATGAACGGGTAAACTTGCAAAAATGCCCTGGCATGGGGAAGATGTTCTATTGTTTGCCCCAGTTCCACAGCCGAACAACGAGGCTGAGATTGGTGACATCGTGCCTGGGCGATGAAATGATGCGGGAGCGCTGTGGTGTATTGGGTTCGTTTGGGTTGGGGGAATGTGGATGGAGCGGCCATGATGCCGAGTTTGGATCTCCTTAAGGTGCAACCTACAGCTCCACAACCCAAAAACGACTCCACAACCCTGGGATTCCTGGCCCAGCCTGGGATTCCTGGTCCAGCCTGGTCCACCATTGATTTAACTGGTTTTACTGGTACCTTATTATTATCAATTCGAGTAGCTCAATTCTGTGGCATGGCTCCAAGGGTGACCATGTGTAGGTCAGCAAGTCTGACCACTATTTATGTGCTGCTGGTCTGCTGGTTTAGGCTGCCGATGGTCAACTTGACCAAGAAATGGTTTTAGACCAACGAGGCAGTCGAGGTACGAATTTCGAGCCATTTGTGCTGCGCATGGTGTTGTATAGGAATTTAGACCACCATGTCAACATACCATGCTTGAACACCTTCTCGGGTTCGACGCATTAGAGCCGGTTCCGTGCCCGCTCGACCGGTGGTCGACCAACACCTGAGGGTTGGACGGCGCAGAAGAAGGCAGAGTACTGGGGAGGTGGACAGTTGGAGCGCTCCGAGAACTTCCGGTGCCTTGGAAGCTGCCGGTTCCGGGTGAGTGCAGTAAGAATGGAGGGTTCCAACTGGGTGGGTGGGAGTTGGATGGGGTTGGTGACGGTTGGTGTTTATTTTTGGATGTTTGAAGACTGCTGACATATGAGGTCCAGAGTCCTGACATCCGTGTCTCGATGCGCTTTTTCACTTTGTTGTTCTCCTTTTCGGGTAGTGCTGGCTGGTCTAGCCGATGTCTCCAAATCCTGTCCGGGAGGATGATAGAGGTGGAACGTTCCACTGACACTTCCGCACATTCTCCAAATCCAGTCACCCACTCGGCAAACTCACAATGATGGGTTCACCAGAAGAGAAAGGTTGGCGGCCAGAAAAAGGGAGATGAATTGTAGCAGGAGTGTCCTGGAACTAGCTGAATCTAGAGCTTCCAACACCTGGGTTTGTGTGCCTCAAACAAGCCCTAATCGATCATCTCTCCTCCCGAAAGAACACGCACAAAACCCACCTTCCCCACGGCGTTCCTCCTCTTGGTCTCCGAACGTCTCGTCCTCCTCGTCCTCCGTCTTCGTTGTCGCGAGGCAAGCCTTCTGCGTCTTCAATGTGGCGGAGACCATCGACAGTCTCGGAGGCACCGGGATCGAAGCTTGGAGCCGATGAGATGGTTGGATGTGGTCAGATGAGATGGGAGAGTACCTCAGTGGTACCTCAGAGATCATACCTCAGATCCCCCCTCCACCAAAGCTTCAGGAGAATGAAACATGGATGTGCACACCCCCATCACACCCCCCATCTTTTGCATGAATTGATTGTACTTGTGAGTTCTGGAAGGCGGAAGCCGAAAGGGGCTTCTTTTCTTTGAGGGGGTGTGATATGTGTGATGGGGTGTGGTGGTTCATCTCAAGTCACTCAGATGTCCCACCCAACTTGCGATGGTTCTCCTTTGCAACTCTCTAATTACTTTGGGTTCTTCCTTGAGAGATTAAGTAGGCGGCGAGGATGTTTGCAGCACCCTGACCCAGTAGGTGGATCCAGGAACCTCTCAGCAGCAGGTGGAACTTACTCGGCAACCTAGAAGCACCTAAAGACCTCAGCTTTTCCCACCTGCTTTCACCATAGACATAGACTTAGGATGACTTAGGCCTTAGAAAGCACCAATGAATGGAAGACATGAAGAAATCCCACAATTCCCCCGACTCGGGTGGTCCGTGTTGTATGTGTTTTTTTTGTCCATCACCCAGGGTGATTTAGGGTCATCCCATCATGTGGTGGCAGACCGAGTCCCTCCCAATCTCCGCGTACCGATTCTAAAAGGACGTGGACGCCATCGTGCGCACCTGCCCCGAGCCCCGCAACGACATCTCCGACTTCGCGTGCGCCGCTCGGGCGCGGAAAAACAGGACAAACGGCGGCTGTTGGGTCTGACACTTGGTGCACATGCGCAGTCTTTGAGTTCTTTTGAATCGGGGGTTGGTCATGCCCGGTGTTTGAGCATGGCAGCATATTGTGTTTTTCTTCGGGGGGGTTGGTTTCTGTTGGTTTTCCCTTCAAAGAATGAACAGAGGTGTAAAGAAGCTTTTTCGCTCCCAAAAAGTTAGTGCGGAAACACGTGCTGTTTCCGGCGTCATTGGAGTCGGCTGCCACTGGAATCGTTTGTTTTTTCGTTGTGGTGGGTTTCTCCAAGTCAACTGGGGTTGAGTTGATGGAGAGATCTACCCACAACTTGGGCGAAAGAGTCCTTAACTCCGTGGTTGATGGTAGGCACCATGTTGGGAGCAGGAGGAAGATTGGTGAGGAGGAATCAAGCCAGAGTGCCCAGGATGAACATGCATATATCAGGACCTGGCAAGTAGCAGAATCAGACCTGCGCAGTGGCCTGCATGTCAAAGACTCTGTCCAGCCTGAGCATTTTGATGCTTCCAACATCTTCCAACTTTGCTAAAGTTGCTCACATCTAAGGCGGTCAACGCAGAAACCTTGGCAGAGATGGTGGGAACTGCTGCGCCTGCGTCGCACAAAGAACTCCATTTAGACCACGGGTTCATCTGTGTTCGGACGAGAACCGTTGGAACGAATCCGGAGTTGAAAAGGGGGTCGGTGAGGTTGGGAAGTCTGAAAACCATACCCTGTGCAGCATTGAACAATGAGTTGTGGAACCTCGGAACTCGATGGGGAGAACACCTGTCCAATCAATGACATGCAATGCCATGGGACTCCCAGCCACTCCATGGGACTCCCAGCCACTCCATGGGACTGGCATATTGACCTACCTGGGGCGTGGTCGCTTGGCATCGTCATGGAGGTCGTGCTGTAGATCCATGAATCGAAGTCGATCATCACAGGTTTCACCCGTTTGAAATCGCCCGTTTCGCCATGGTTTCGCCATGTTTCACCTCTGGAATCTCCCCAGATGGCTCGGGTTGGTGGGCACCTCAGCACCCAGGAAGGCACCTAGTGAGACTATAGTGGAGGCTCCAACTCACGTCACATGATTGGGAGATATGCTGCAATCATGTGATTATGAAACTGCTCATAATAACTCCGATGATGATATACATCCTGTTGATTCTAAAACTACAAGATCGGAGATCTCACCAAAATGAACCCTATATACAAGTTTAAAGACTCCGTAAAACCCGGTCTTTTACCTCCTTGAGTATACAACAGCCCTTGGGTATCTGCCTATGAATCTGGTGGGTTGACCCCCTCTATAATAATGTAGGAGTGCGTGCGCTTTTCGACAAGAGGGGTTTGATGTTTGGTCAGCGATTTTTGACTTTTGACTTTTGCAGGATAATGAACGCCTAAATCACCACATTGCATATGAGGTTGTAGAATCAGACCTCTACTGGCATTAGAAATATGTTTGCTGGTTGTTGTTAGCAATCATATAGGGCCCAGGGCCTAGGGCCCTGTACTGGCGAGTCCCTTCAAGCGTCGAAGCCTGAACTCGATGCCCTTAATATGGCCTAATGACTCTATCCGGTGAGTGCTGCGCAAGACTCTTAACATAGACAGGACAGCTTTACAGCAGGTGCAAGGTGGAATGCTGTAATAATGCTGTAATTCTGGTCATTGATGGCTAGGCTTGCCTGAAATATTACTGCACACAATCCAAAGAAACCACTGCCTTGTTCTTTTTCATTTGGGCTTCCGGCGCAGGAAGTCGTGTCCAGCCCTGCGCGAACACGTACTGGTGCCAAAAGCACGGTATTCGGCTTTCGACAAGCGTCTCACGTAGCCAAAAAGAAACAGAAGTCCTTGACTCTTAAGCTAAACAGTCAACAGAGTACGAAAGCTTTAAGAAGCTTCTCCAAACCAAAAAATCATCAGAACATTGGCTGGTTTCACATCGCAATGAACTACCTTGATCTCCTCCAAGTAAGCCAGCGCACTAGCCAAGTCCACTGCTACTGCGCTGATGCTGAACACACTTGCCCATGAATCTCAGCTTAGCAAACTTCGCTGTGTCAATTCCAGGATGCACCCCACAGCTGAGCAACCAGAAGATCCAGCAGCCAGACCATAAGCTGTAATCATGGTGGGATGATGCCCCAGCTTCATCATCTTCTGCAAGAAGTCCCGCTCAGAGCTAACTTCCAGTGATTTCACTGGCACCTCGCACAGGATTGCTCTGGCTGAGCAGACCCTAGGTGCTTGCCGTCAAGCGACAGGGAGACAAGCCCAAGAGAAGGAAGACAAGCTTGGGCTCGGCAGCGGCAAGCCATTTGATAGTATTAAAATAATGAAGGGAGACAAGCTGGGGAAACTAGAAAGAAAGTTTGGGAGACAAGCTTCGGAGACAAGATAGAAAACAAAGGATGCGAAGATTGGGAGATTTGGGGAGACAGCTTTTCATCACCCCACTGTCCTGCAGCCCATGCGAAGGAACATGAGCGCTTGGGGGTGACTGTAATCAACTGGCTTCCAGACACTCTTGACGGAGCAGCTATCCTGGCTGCCTGAGAATCCGGGGTATGGGTGGCACAGTTTTTTTTGACATCGAAGTTAATGACTGTGGGCTGTTTGATGGGCCTGCCACACCATCTTCTTCTTTGGCGAGCCTGTGTGAACTGCAGCGTTGCCCAAGCAGCTTGCCTCATAGCAGATGAGGTTCTCCGACCATCGACAACGGAAAGCTGCTGGACGCACGACGCTCATGATCCTGCTTCGGGCAAGAACCTTGAGTATCGCTTATGCACGGCTGCCTTGCCAGGCAAAGACGAAAATGGAGGCTGGCTTCCCACCATGTGCATTCAGCGCCAATGGGCACAGGGCTCTCGGCAAACCACCCAGCCATCCTCCACTACTGCCTTTGTCATGGAGGTCCTTGACTTCGCTGAAGAGGGTTGCAATTAGCTCTATACCAGGCTCAATCTTACAGATATGCTCCCCAACAAGAATGGGCAAAATGCCAAGGGCCTGCAGGGGTGCACCAAACAGCATGTAACACACAAATTTTCTCCACACGTGATTCTGGTTTCCCAGTCTCACACCAAACTTGTCAATCCCCATCGCCTTCAGCAATGGCTGCATAGACTCGCCAGACAGCTGCTGACCCATCAATCGCTTCGACTCCTTTGCATTGTTCAGATCCTTGACCACGAAGTCCCCACAAAGGAAGTGCTCCAACGGTGCCTCGCTAAAAGTTGGAAATCATCTAAGGTTTGTCAGCATTCGATGATTTGTAGTTCACCGAACGTGCCTTTGCTTCAGAACCAGAAAGCTTAACATTCCTCCAGGTCTTCCAGTCTCCAAAGAATTACACGAAACGATCTGAACGCGTGCAAACATCATAGACAGAGATGCGCGCGCAAAGGCCTGCATCTAGCCAGGTATGCGAATATGTGCAATGTGTGTGTGTGTTAAATGTTTGTATATGCTATCATTGCACGTGTTCCTCGAAATGATCCACCAAAAGAAGGAATATGAACAAGAAGCTGAAATAGCAACAAAAACACTAGAAACAAATTGCATAACTAACCTCTGTCCATCTGGGCAGATCCAAGCCCTTGAGTAAGCCTGAGATCGCGAAGGCACTGGCAGAAACACAGGTCTCTGTGAAGGGAGCTGCCACATCATACTCCATCATACTCCCAAAACCCAAAGTGGTGCACCTGCACCCCGAGCCTCTATCTGGCTGGGAAGATGCCTGGCTCGATTCTCAGTGCTGCCATACCCTTTGCATATATGTTTGTCAATCTTCACATGCTTGGGTAAGCACAACCTGCTGTGAGCATGGCACAGGAACAGGCGCTGGATCTGATCAACCCAAAAACCTCTGCTCCCAGACCCAACTGGACAATCAGTTTGGCGCAATACGTTGGGATAAAGACCTCTCAGCTTCTTTTCTAGTTGGCATTCTGCTCGGACATTCCAATTAATATTCTTGCTGGATCCCCACTACCTTATGAAAACCTTGGGGTCACCATCTACTAGTGCGCTGACCCCCAGGAGCGGAGAAGAATCATGTCCTGGCAGTCATTTCGCGTCATCCTGATTCTAATGTTGAGCCTTTCGGCCGGCTGGATCCCTCGACATGGAGTTCTGGCACCTTGAAATTGCCATTGAAGGGCCGCCTGGGTCGCATGTTCTCTGGATCGGCTGGCGTGGACGGGTGCCGTCCGAGGTGCCAGGGAGTGGCGGGGTGTTCGGAGAGGCCGGAGAGGTGAGGTGGAGGCGCCACGTGGCCAGGGGAGTTGAGAGGTTGATAGGCGCTGGAAGTGTGCGACAGGCCTAATTTTTGTTGGCAAAGCTTGGGAACTAGAATCTGCCTTAAAAGGATTGTTTGTTGGCAGATTCTCATGTATGTTGTGAAAGGAATTGATGCGCATCACACTGCCCAATCGAGGTGGTTTCGGAAAGAAGCGATACACAGTTTTCATTGTTTATGAGCCAGGGCACGATAGGTGGCCGGCCGTATGTCATGATGCACGTTATATGCTAGTATGCAAGCTAAGGGTAGTATTGTGGGATTTGTTTACAGGCAAAAATCAAGGAATGCTGGAGAGGTTGGGTACTGGAGATACTGGAGGCGCCGGTGGCTGACAAGCAGGTCGGGTGCTGGAGAGACGCATGAGAAGTGCAGGGGAGAGTGGCGCAGAGGTGCTGGAGAAGGGTGTGCTATAGAGAAAAGTGCTAGAGGAGAGGCGCCTGAGTGCCGGCAAAGGTGCTGGAGAGGCGGAGATGCGGACGCCTGTAGATGTGCCCGAGAAGTGCTGGACAGGTGCTGGAGAGTTGCAGGAGAGGTGCTGGAGAGAGCCGGGCAGAGGCGACGTGGAGTTCTAGAAATTTGAGGCGGAAGGAGGAAAGTGAAGTACTGAAGTGTAATTGCTGGTTTTTGTGAAAAGTTATCAATTTATTCAGTTGTAGATGGTTTTTTGAGGTTGGGTCTAATCATTTTATAGGGATCCAACGTCTGACATAACCGCCGGCTGCGTATAAAAATGAGGTAATTGACCTGCAGGGAAATTGAACCTCCACTTCCAGCTTCACCCTCACCGCCTCTCTTCGCTCAGGCCACCTGGCTCTCGAGCGCCGTGTCCACCTGTGACACCTTCCCCAACGTGGGCGCTGAGTGACTGGGCCACACTCGGTCGACCGCCGGTTCGGAATGCCATGCGAAGTGGTTGGGTGTGTTTCTGGAAGCGCAGGTGCCATACAACAGCAGCCATAGCTGGAGCTTCCGAATTTGGACATTTGTCCCAGACACTGACATACACTGACGAATTGGGTGTGACACCAGTCCCTGGCTGGTCTTTTGGAGCATTGGAGCGGGAAACTTTGCAGAGAAGACGACCATCCACCCACCATATGAACTACCCCCTACACCCACCCCTACATCAGGTCCTCTACCCCCTACACGGCGTATCACCCAGGCCAAAAGGCGTATCAATGTGTGGCCATTGGGGTTAGCCGATCATCCCTTCTTTCATCGATCCGTCCAGCACTCCAGGTGCGCCTCCGGCGTGGCGGGCATCTTGGGCGCGCTGGGGGAAGTGGCGGCCAGTGGGACCTTGGCCATGACCTCCTGCGTCTCGCCCGAAGAAAACAGGTGCAGCGGTCGGTGAACCCGTTTGAAGCCACCTCCCCAAGCGGTTTGGGGACGTGAGAACTTGGAGGCCAATGTGGGGAGAAAAAGGAGCCATTTGCTTTAATGCAATGTCAGTTGTTCATATATATATATATACATATCACTATATACTAAACTTGATATGCCATGCATGGGTTGCCTTTTTGTTGCTGTTTGTTTCACGTGGTTTATAATCAGTAGTTGTTTTTGTGTGATGTGTTTTTGTTCTTTTTCAACTGTTGAACCATCTCTGAGTTGAAGACTGTTCCACCTGTTGAATGCTGGGCACCGAGGTAAACAATATCCCTTGGCCGGATTCAAGGCTGATCAGTACAGCAGAGATGCCAAGATTGACAGTGCCGGCCACTCTACCATGAGGACAGCTCAAACCAAAAAGGATCCATGGTAACATGGCCATTTAGCGTCCTCCACCACTACCACCACCACTACTACTCCTCCTACTCCTGCTACTCCTGCTACTCCTGCTACTCCTACTCACTACTACTACTACTACTACTACTACTACTACTACTACTACTACTACTACTACTACTACTACTAGTACTACTACTACTACTACTACTACTACTACTACTACTACTACTACTACTACTACTACTACTACTACTACTACTACTACTACTTACTACTTACTACTTACTACTTACTACTTACTACTTACTACTTACTACTACTTACTACTACTTACTACTACTTACTACTACTTACTACTACTTACTACTACTTACTACTACTTA